GCATGGGGTGCAGGGGCGCGGTAAGGTATGGGGTGGGGAGAGATGGGGCAGAGCGAGGCTGGAGAAGGGGAGGTGGTCGACCACGCGCGATCAATATAACAAAATACGCCGGCAACCCGCCGCACACACATATATGTACGCGTGCGCGCTCTCACACGTACATTCTCGAGCATCCTATCAATACACCGACAACGGGACCAGCGTACACACGTACACGCATACATTGTAAATATAATCTAAACGTGCATGTGAACGTGCGTACGTGTACACATCGGGCCAGGTGTGTGTGTGTGTGCAGGAAAGCTGCGCATACTCTTATCTCCGTGTGACCATAAATTGCGAACGCGATACGTGTGCATATTACTTGTGCACAGAGGCGAATATACGTATGCACACCCGATGGACACGAATGTATATATATATATATATATATGTGTAAATATATGTATATATATGTATATATTTATTCGTGTACATAAGTGTACACTATGTGTAAATGCGTGCAGAGAAATTCGGTGGTACGTTCGTACGCACTACGCGTGTCTGGTTGCACGGGAGAAATGTACGTTTCAGCAAGTGGATGCAACGCGTTACCAGAATACGATGCACGTACTCGTGCACACGGAATAATGCGACGGCTATACGTTTAAAACAGATCTTCGAAGCCACGGAGTTCCAGACATATGCACGATATTGCGAAATTGTTTTTTTCTTTTTTTCTAGGGGGTGTTATTTCGTATTCATTGATAAGTTTTGTTGGTTTCATGAAGACTGAATAATAATTATATAGATGCTGTGAAATAAATTATGATTAGTTAATATATTGAATAATTGGTTGAATGGAGTGAAATTAATGTGGAGAATTTAAGAAATAGAGATTTTCTTAAGTTACCAGTTTATGAAAGATTTGACATGTTCGTTTCCGATCGTTTAAATGCAGTCGGTTACGTGCAGGTTATGTAACGCGAAAAATATTTGAAACGATCGGAACGTACGTCACGAAAGTGACACGTCGGAAAACGGTTCGTTAAATTATCCGTAATCGAGAATATAATAGCAGGAATTTAAAGACGCGTTCGAAGAAATATTACGTTACGCGTACCGAGCGTTTCGAGAAACGAGAGGTCAACGGCGTAACGACGCCACCCGCCATTTTAAGGACGAACCTTTAAGGCTATAACGCACGGTAGACGACCGTAAGACTGAAGCCAGTGTACAAACGAAGTATCGCCAGCTGGCACGTAAAATGTAGCGCCTCTGGCAACGTGAATATTCACCGACGTGTATGCGTTTCGAGGAGAAAAATTAATAGCACAATGAAGACAATGTCTTAGCTGAAAACATCGTAAGGTCATTTCTCTTCGGAAACAAATTACCTATCCTCACGCGAAAACCGAACAATTTACTATGTAACTTTGTAGATATACTTAGCCTACTGAATGTTATTATGTATCAAAGATTTTAATTTCATGTAAAACACATTTTTCTGTGATTTGGGTAAAAACACTGATAAATATTTGTACACCATTCTCCACACTTTCATGTTGAATAGGTGAAGAAACTGGTACATTATCATTGCATAATGAAATATGTCAAAAACGTTGTAATTATTGATAGGAATGAATTTAAAATAATAAAAAATATATAATAATGGGAAACAGGAGTAAAAGCATGGGTACTGTGTAGCAACGTTATGCTACGTTTACGGATGTACTGCAGAAAATAAAAATAAAAGAACTACTTTCATGTAGTTATATGCTTTTTCTGTCACATGAGACAATAATAAATAAAAATATGATTTTTTAATCTTAGAGATAGAATAGTTTGTTGTATTGCTTAGCCAAACAAGTATCCGCAAACTGAGTGTCACTGCGCCAACGTCACCGTTAGTTTTCACTTCTGTTTTCCTACTTTGATCTCTGCTCTTTAATAATTGTACTTGCATTTTAGATCGACTTCTACTCTATACGCAACCTTTCCTTCATGCAAATACATGCATATTCTTAAACAAATGGAAGTTGTTAACGTGAATTGAAAAATAGCTATTTTTATTAAAACATTGTTAAAATAATTCACGTTGAACGTATTTAACTGAATACCTAACTGCTTAAACTTCTAGTTCATACAAAATTTTATTCATTGTATAATGTTCCATTTCCCCGTCAACTTGAACCATCGTATCTTCATTATTTATCAACATAACGTTACTCAGCAACAAAATAGACTTACGTTTATACATAGGTTCATTAAGAATTAGAAAAATATAAAAACCGTACGATCTTCTTCCATACAATTACATTATATAACTTCAAACAACAAACTTCAATTATGAAACAAAGCGGATAACCATTAAAATATTAATATCGACGTAAAACAGATTTTCCTCGTTTTCCGAAACATTTCAAACTATTTCCTTTCATGCTTGTTCATTAAGGCACGGCCACATAACACAGTGAAATATACCGAGCAAGAACTGTAAAAATGTTCTAACGGATGCATAATAAACAAGATGTCAATGAAACAGAACATTCCTGACCGCGAAGATCGACGCTTTCCATTCTAAACGCGCCTAAGGTGTGCCCGGTCGGGGATCCACGGTTTGAGCGCCACTGTCGAACAATAACTTCGTGCCGCTGCGAGCTCTCAAAATGGCTGTCCTCAGCTATTATTACTTCGGGGAAAAAACAAATGACGGCGCGCTTACGCTACGAGGAGAGGAGAGACAGAGCCAAGGCTCTCCGTATATCGCACGTTTGTACACGCGCGCGCGCGAGAGAGAGAGCGTGCATGCGTGTCTCTCCGGGTGCGTGTGCGTGAGGTGTGGGTGTGTGTATACACGCGTTCAGAATCTTCGGTCTACGTACGGAGTCAAAAACATCGCGTACACCTTACCATCCTGCTAAATTCCGGTTTCATCGAAAACAAATAGATGATAACGTTTCTCTCCCCGTCCGGCGTGCTAGACGCGAATAAACAACTTGTAAATAACGAACGAATCTCGCCGCACTTTTCCTCGGCACTACCAGATTCGCAGGTCACGAAACATTGTATACAGCCGCTTCGAGTTTGAGGATTGTATGGCAGATGGAATAAAGCCTGGTAGACGGCTGCATGGGGACGACGACCGTACCAGACATAAAATTCTAGGGGAAAATTGTTGTTGACTGTGCCCAGACTGCGGCAACAATAAAGGCATTCTTACTTCCTGCCCTTAAACGTATGCGAAGGGTGAGGCAGGACGATGAGGGGAGCGGGGAGGGGTTGACGAGGTAGCTTGGCTGTATTTCTTTTTCAACAAGTTTAACCGTGGGTCTACGGTCTGTACGGTAAATTAGAAAGACTTCGGCGAATCGGAAGGCCTGTAAATCTTGGGTGTCTCAAGGTTCGTGTCCTCTATATTAAAGACGAGACGCGGGCACAAGGTACGTTGTAAACGGAAACACGTACAAGCATGTATACTTTGTGTGTAATTGTTGCCAAATGGCATGCTCTCGGTTCGAAATTTACTGTATTTCTTGTATAGGTTCATGCGTATATGTGTGCGTATGCGTGTTCACGGGTCGTGTGTACACGTAGACGTACACATATACATATATATATATATAGATATATACAATCTCACAGTTACGTAAGGCGCCTTTTGTCGAAAGGCATGTGAAACGTATAAGGGGGACACAAAAGGTACTTACCGTTTGAAATGTTCTCGTATGCGATCCTCTCGGATGTTTTCCGGCAGATTTCCAACCCACAGGTGACGTGTCTCTCTAACCATTTTGCTCCGAACTCTTCATTTGGGATCGGATGTTGTGGTATCGTTTGGCGGCACTGTACAACGACACACAACTTCGCCCGACGCTAATCACGGCACACTCACCACACCACCGATACTGAATGCCGCCCAGCGGGTCGGCTAAGGAAGCCTCTCTCTGCTTTTCTTCCCTATATACCTTTTCTCTCTTTCTCTTTCTCTCCGTTCCTCTTTCCCTTTCGTTTCGACTTTTTTCCCCTTGTGTTCCACGCGAGAGAAATGAAATGGACCCGCGCGGACGGTCAATCCGTATCGAACACCAAAAAGGATCGATCCTCCTATAATTCGATCCACCGGGAGAAAGAACTGGTGGACCCGCGAGAACGCACACGCGATGAAAAAAAAAAATTGAAAATAACGAAGGAACCGTTACGTGTATATATATATACCACGACGAACGAAGGAACCAGAGCCTTCTTCCTCTCCCACTTGAAAACACTCTCAATTTAATTCACTGGCAAAAACAAAAACAGATTTAACACTAGTCACTAGCCGGAAGGTAGTGACCCCAAGCAGGACGAGTGTTGTCGTCAGGGCAGCGCTGTGGAACGATCGGCCGATAGAAGAGGGTGGCAACGGAGCTCTCGCGATTAAATTTTTGCGTCGCGACGCACGCCGACGACAACAACGACGACGACCACGACGAAGAGAAGGAGGAGTAGGAGCCTCGATAGCGGACACCACTGATGACAACGGCTATAAAGATCAGGACCGTCGCCGAACACCACATCGTATACCACTGAATCGCGTATGAAGAAAGGCGGCTAATCACACGTCACACCAAGCACACCGAGCACAACGCGGCCGAACGGGCGATACATCCCAACGCATATTGGTTGAGCATAATCACACTCGCGTCGTCGATTTATTTTACCGGATTTTCGGTTGCGCCTCGTTCACGTCGAACCACCGACTAGGAGGCAGCTACCGGTTACCGCCTGAACTATCGCGGAAACCCCACTAAAAAAACAATCGATCTACCGGGACGATAGAACCGTTGCTTTTTTCTCTCCTCTCTTCCTTGGTTGAATTTTCAACGCGCGAACCTTACCGCGGGCACCGACACTACTTTTATATTCCTCTGCCTCTTTTCCTTCCTCTCCTTTCCCTTTACATACTCACTTAACGTAAATTGCTTCTCTTTCATTTACTTTTCCATCATTTTACGATTCACATATCACTG